ACTCCCTTATATTAAAATGCAAGATAACGCAAGGTTAAAACTTCAAAGAGGGACGCCTGGGTGGCTCAGGGCTTGACTGGCTGCCTTCAAGCTTAGGGCATGATCCCAGGATCCAGGATCAAGTCCCACCCACATTGGGCTCCCTGAGAAGAGCCTGCTTCTCCCTCTGCCTGTGTCTCTGCCCTCTCTCTCTCTCTCTCTCTCTCTCTCTCATGAATAAATAAAATCTTAAAAAAAAAAATAAATCTCAAGGCAGCAACCACCCAATTTTAAATTTACAACTTTAGCTATAATTATCAATAGCAACTACAGCATTTATAAAATACAGTAAACTTGAAAAGTTTGGATTGCCATGGCTCAAAAAAATTGGGACTCTATTATACTCTGTACTGCACTGTGCTAAATTGAAGGAGTAGGAAGAAAAAGTATGATTCTTATGCCACTACACAGAAAAATGCATTCTGTTTTCTTCCCATATTGGGTTGTTTCTTTTTCATACGTGGAATGTGCAAGAGCAGGGGGTGGCAAAGAACGAGTGGGAGGGTTGGCATGCAGCACTTAATTTCAGTAAATACTTTAGAAAACTTTAGAGATGACCAAGCATCTTTCAAAAGAGGCACTCCTGATACTGTCTCATAGAACTGCAAGGATATGTTTTTGTGAACCGTAAACATACATAAAATTATTAGTGCATCCTTTAAGTGTTTTTCTGATGCCAAAAAGCAAGCTATTCTTATACTATAATAACCACATGGCCCTGTTAAGCTTTGTGTTATTTTTCCCAGCAAGCCAAAAAAAAACCTGAGAAATCATATGCCCATGGAATTCTTATGGAATCTTTCACACAAATATGTATTATGAAACAGTAACACAATACTGACATGCTATATGTATGCAAAAAAACTCAAGTTGCAAATCCTTTGTGTAGCAGAAAATATATTTCTGAAGTCTCATGTTTCTAATTCTAAGGCCTTCTGCTCCTGTTGTTTACACGCCTAACTTGTGTTTTTCTATTTTAGCTATTGGTGACTATACCTACATCACATACTAGAACAGCACTCACTGTATTATACATATTATGAATACTGGCAATGAAGAAAATCTATCTTAAAAAATATGCCAATATTGCGGTACCTAAGTGGCTTAGTCGGTTGAACATCTGACTCTTTAGTATCGGCTCACGTCATCATCTCAGTGTTGTGAGATAGAGGTCCACATTGGACTCCACGCTCAACATGGAGTCTGCTTGATATTCTCTTTCCCTTTCCTTCTGCCCTTCCCCCTGCTCTCACACACGCACTTGCTCTCTCTCTCAAACAAACAGATCTTTAAAAACAAACAAAAAAAAAAGCAAAAAACCCCAACAATACTGACTTCTGGTTTCCAGTGTGGCACATTAAGAGCCTGGAAAGGTTCACTCCCATCCACACACAAAAGAAAAGTTGAACAAACTGAAAACCAGCAACTCTTCTTAGATCCATAAGAGAACCAAGATCATAGTGAGAATCACTGCCCCCAAAACTGGATACACAGATATGGAAAATCTCAACTTATCAGAGCAGAAACCCATAACGAGAAACTTCCAGGTATCCAGGACTAGTGTAGGAAAACCTAAAGTGTTATCTGATGAATTACAAGATGAATGTACAGGAGTTTGAGAGTTAAAAACTTCAGGGATGTCCAGTCTTAGTTTTACCTCCAGGAACTCCACCATATCCTCCAAGTGAAGATCAGAGAAACATCACCTTGTGCTTCACTAAAGAGAAAGGAAGAATAGACATTTTTCGGCAAGGCAGGGTATTCTGTTCGTCTTAACAAAGCCAACCCTCAAGATTTACTCTTTCACAGAGCTAATGGACTGGGGTTTTACTATAAACTAACCAACTCCAGGGAAGGGAAACAGCCAATCCCCAGACACCCTAGCCTTCTACATAGAGTAAGAGAAATACCCAATTCCAGTCCCTTCTAAGGTTTTTGCTTAAACCAGGGAGTTCAAAACAAAACTAAGAAGCACTTCCGTGAGTAACAGATCAGGGGCACAGACTCACTAAGAAACTGAAACCTAACCACAGCAGCCCATAATGCTTCCCCTCCCCCCACACCATACCAATAAGGCTTCCAAATAAGAGAATATAACTGAAATAAGGAGACACCTCAGATCTTATTTAGCAAGTCTCCAAGTAAACCCAAACCAAGTAAACCCAAAGAAAATAAGGCACAAAAACAAGGACAGCAGAGGTAATTTTATCCTCTGACACCTAAAGCTACAGTACACATGGCCCACCATGCAGACATATAAACATAAAATCTCATGCTAGAGGCCTGTTCCTTTACTTGCTGTTATTCTATATCTGACTTTCAGCAAAATATTACAAGGCAACTAAAACATAATGGCAACAGAATTTAAAAATTCCCTAATTTAAAAACTGTTGAAAATTTAATCCTTGGTAGTATCGCTGATAACAAATTACACACAATAACTCAAAAGTACAGGTAAACACACATTCACTAAAATATATACTCATAATATACTTTAATTAGAACCTTTCCCATTTCCTTTCTCCCTTTCCCACACACCACTGGCACTATTCAACATCATGCTGGAGATCTTAGTCAATGCAATAAGGTATCAACAGGAGGGTGCCTGGGTGGCTCAGTGGGTTAAGCGTCTGCCTTCAGTTCAAGTCTGATCCCAAGATCCTGTGATCAAGCCCCACATCGGGGCTCCCTAAGCGGGGAGTCTGCTTCCCCTTCTCCCTCCCCCCCCCCCCGCCGCCTGTACGCTTGCATGCACTTGCTCTCTCTCAAATGAATAATATCTTTTAAAAAAAAAGATACCAACTGGATAAAACATTTACTTATTAGAAAGAGACTTAAAAAGCCTATCACCATACAAAGTTATTTTAAAAATAAGTGTTCAATAAGATGTCTGGCTAAAAGACTGGTGGATAAATATTCATTATTCATTTCCTATACACTATTATAATTCTATTAGGAAATGTAATAGAAAAACAGGTTTTGATTTACAACAGTAAGAAAAAAAACCCTACCATATTTAGAACAAATCTAGTAAAAAAAAAAAATGTGTAAAATTTTAATGATGAAATTTTTAAGCTTTATTAAAAGAATACGAAAATGACTATATAAATGAAAATATATGCCATGTTTCTCAAAGGGACTGGCTCAGAATTTTGAAGACATCAATTCCCACTCAATTACATCCTATATACAATGCAATCCTAAAGTAAACACCTATAGGATTAAATATATGCATTATGAAATACTTCATATAAAGAAAAAAGAGAAAAACCTAATAACCACTGAACAACAAGCCAGCTCACAAAACAAGACATTATCAATATAGTTGAAAAAGATCTATGAAATAGATTTCCTCTATTCTATTTTAGCTATTGGTGACTATACCTACATCACATACTAGAACAGCACTCACTGTATTATACACATTATGAATACTGGCAATGAAGAAAATCTATCTTAAAAAATATGCCAATATTGCGGTACCTAAGTGGTGGAGTGTCTGCCTTTGGCTCAGATCATGATCCTGGGATCTTAGGATAGAGTCCCGCATCGGGCTCCCCACAGGGAGCCTGCTTCTCCCATGCCTATGTCTCTGCCTCTCTCTCTCATGAATAAACAAATAAAATCTTTAAAAATAATAAAAATAAAACAGTATGGTAGTGGTACAGGTGTAAACTTATGCACCAAAAGAATAAAGCAGACTTAAAGAAAGGACTGTTAAGTATGTGAAAACAGGGGCATCCCAGGTGGCTCAGTGGTTTAACGCTGCCTTCAGCCCACAGTGTGGTCCTGAAGACCCAAGATCAAGTCCCACATTGGGCTCCCTGCACCTCCCCCTCTGGTTCAGTCACTTGTAAAGGATTAAAAACCAGCATCCTTTCTCCTCTCTCCCCAACCCCCTTCACTTTTCTTTTTTTTTCCCCTTTTGGGAGCCAGGCATGAAAGACTAGGACATTCAAAAAATCCTGCATGTCTGTGGAAAATGAGCAAGTGACTGCACATGCCTAGGAAAGACTCAGGAAAGATCTGAGAAGACTTCAAGATTACACCTCATTCTTCCTTTTATGTTCTTACAAATGTAAATGAAACAATATGAATTCACTTATTCAGCCAGCCAGCCAGCCAGCCAACCAACAGTCATATAAAACTACACTGTCCAAGTTAATAGATTTGATCCTAAAAATACTACGTAAATATGGTCAGGGCCCCAAAGAATTAAAAATGAGGAGAGACTACAGTACAATTATTTACCATACAGAAGTTCCACACTATAATAGAAAAATGAAGTAATGAGCTAGTGGGAATATGCATGAGGTAATGGCTAAGTCAAGAAAAAGCTGGTAAAGATTTTACAGAGGTGGTATTTGATCTAGGCAGCTTAAAAAATGAAAAGAAAAATTAGACTTTGTAGGGCAAGATTTGGGAAGAGGCAACAATATAAGTGCACAGGTTAGAAGGCATAAAAGTGGGGCATGCACCGAAAATTACTATCTATAGGACTTTGAGCAAAATCTAAATCTACTTCAATTGAACAATATCGGTAATGTTATCTTCCTCAGATGGTTGCAGAGAGGAAAAAGAAGTGGTAGATCAAAAAGGATGTGAGCAGAGTCTGGCTGCCACATCTTCTACCCACTGACTTTCCAAGGCTGACTCTACTGTTTTACCTCAAAAAGTTGGGTTATCAACCTCCACTATTCCTCTAGAAGCCATATACTTGGTAGAGGAGCACAACCTGCTCAGTAACATACAATGGCCTCGCACAGCTCTTGACATATAGTATTTACTCAAAAAAAGTGTTTTCTCTTTTTAAGCAGATTCAGAGTTCCATCGACTACTTTCTGACCCTCCTTAGATGTGCCCTGCAATTACTACTATGGTCCTGACTCTCAGCTTGAGAGCCAGTGGTGTGTTTAATAAGCACCTCCCCCCAATCTGTACACATATTACTTTATACTTACAGGCTGAGGCTGCTCTGCAATACAGCAGTTGAAACACAACCAGAATTCACTCATGCTTATAGTCCACAGTATAAATGAGCACCAGTGAAGTTTTCAAATCTTAGCTCAGGAAGCTTCACAAAGCACGCTCCTTGATAGGCTGAATGTTCAATGATGCCAAAAAAAAATAATAATTTTATTACTTCTGTTTTTGTTCTTGGAAGTCAAGTATCTTATACAGTCAATTTAATGAAGAAGTCAAACTGTTTTCCTTTCCTTGTTTCTCGTTCTACAGAGATTCGTTTCTCAACCACCAGGAAGGTATAAAAATTGTTGTCTTGACTCAGGGCGTCTAACAGGCAGTCTAAAAAAAAAAAAAAAGGAAAAATAGAAGAAAACAAGTTACTTTACTTATCCTTAGATGCTTTTATTTTTTTTTTTAGATCTGTGATAAAATTAAAAATATTTCCCCAAAAAGCAAGCATTGGGAAAAAAAATCAAGATTTTAATAAATTGATATCCAACAAAATTTTCTGAACACTTTGAGCAGCAGGTATCAGGAATATAGCAATGAATTAAGACAGAAATCCTTGACTTCGTAGTGCATCCTATTTTTTAACAATAAAACCCTAAATTATTTTAGTAAGTTAATTTTTTTAAATCATTAACTAAAACACCATGACTGCCACACAAAAGTCTCAAATTCCAAGAAGATCACTTCATACATTTCAGATCATTTTCATACAGGTTTCTGCATTTGAACCTGTTCTCAAAGACAATCCTGGAAGTAAATGATACAGCAATCAACCGCTTAGATAATTAAGCAGCTGTAATTCATTAGTAACCATAAACAAAACTAGCAACTTTTCCACTGAATTTGAAATTGAACATAAAAGATAGACAGGTTCTAATTTTGGCTTCCTTTTGTGAGTTAAGATATTAGAGTCCTGCCACCGCCAGCACCAGAACTACTGTAGGTAAAAAGTTTATTTCCCACCAGTGGCCAACCAAGCTGAGACATTCAGAATCCATGTTAGGCAATTTTCTGTGGAGCTGGGCAAAGAGTGAACCTGTATTTTCTTCCTGGCTGCCAAGTTGTTGACTGTAAGAAAGGCTTTAGCCAAGTGAATTCCAAACTTCATGTAGATGATTGTTCTGAGATAATAATACTGACAAGCACAGACAAGAAGAGAGAAGAGGAAGTCTAGAGGACATAAATCTCTGCTTCCAGTCATCCCTAAGATCAGTTTGAACCTGAGCATAGGTTTTGTGAGGCAGTGTTTCTCTCTCAGTAGCTTGAAGCTGCACTGAAGTGGATTTCTATCACCTGCAGCCTAGTACAATCACCAAGTAAATATGTCCACTAGACCTCTGGAAGTACAGCTTGGAAGCCAAGGAAAAGTCCTAGAATTACCAGCATATTATAAATGAAGCAATGAATCCTAAATTTTTTTAAATATTTATTTTAGAGAAAAAGTAAGTGAGCAGGGAAAGGGCAAAGGGAGAGAGAGAGAGAGACCCAAGTGGACTCTGTGGGCTCAATCCCACACCCCAAGCCCAAACCAAGAGTCAGGCGCTCAACTGACTGAGTCATCCAAGCACCCCTGAATCCTAAATTCTAAAGAAAGCAGCATCATGAAAAGCAAAAAGCGTCTAAGAACTCTAAGTAACAGCATCATTTAACTATGGGTAGAGGAAGAAAAGTCTACAAAGAGTATTTGGGTATTACTAAAAAGAGAGAGGAGGAAAAGCAGTTAATGTGACACTGGAGCCTGTTTCAAGAAGGAAGCTGATAACAGTATTACCTGACACAAGGATACCAAAGACAGAGAATTGTCCATTAGAATACACAGAAGACACTTGGTGGCCCTGGTTTACATCAGTTCCATTGAAGTAGTATAGGCAGAAATCAGATTAGAATGAGTTAAGAAGTGAGTGAAGGGGGATCCCTGGGTGGCACAGCGGTTTGGCGCCTGCCTTTGGCCCAGGGCGCGATCCTGGAGACCCGGGATCGAATCCCACGTCGGGCTCCCAGTGCATGGAGCCTGCTTCTCCCTCTGCCTATGTCTCTGCCTCTCTCTATCTCTCTCTCTCTGTGACTATCATAAATAAAATTAAAAAAATAAATAATAAAATTTAAAAAAAAGAAGTGAGTGAAGGGAGAGCAGAGTCAATAAATGTAGGAAATATTTCCTGGAAGAGCAGATAGGAACTCTTAAAAGACATGGTAGGGTGGTAGCTTCAGTGAAGAAAAGAGCCATCCTGGAAACAAAAAGATCAAAGACCAAAGATACATTAACAAGATTACTTAGGTATTAACATTTTTGTCCAAGTAATCAAAGATTATCCATACTTATAAATTTCTGGGGATGCCTGGGTGGCTCAGCAGTTGAGCGTCTGCCTTCGGCTCAGGATGTGATCCCTGGGGTCTGGGATCGAGTCCCACATCAGGCTCCTTGCATGGAGCCTGCTTCTCCTTCTGCCTGTGTCTCTGCCTCTCTCTCTCTCTCTCTCTCTCTCTCTCTCTCTCTCTGTGTCTCTCACAAATAAATAAATGAATAATCTTAAAAATAAATAAATTTCTGAAAAAGATAACATACATTTATAAGCTATGCAACTAGAAATCAGTAAAAGACAGCTACATTATAGGATCATGGACCCCAAACATTAAGTGAAATAACATTCCTCCCTTTTGGGATCTCCAAAGTCATGACTGGAAACCTGGTAAGACATGAATGATAGTAATTTTTATATTTGCATAGATGAAACTCTTCACTAAAGATAAATGCATATATGTTTAATGTCAAAAATGTAGGACTCTGATTCTAGTATCCAGAGGACAAGTCTTCTAACATAACATACTACAGGAAAATGACAGGTTAAGATTTAAGCGTATGTTCAAGGAGGACGATCAGAAGGAAGAAAATTTACATCCTGCCATAGTTAAAATTCAGAACCTGGGAGATTTATTTTCAAGCAGGTATGAACATTCCTATCTCACCCAAACTTCCAAAACAAAGAAGAGGCAATACTGTAATTGACTTTGTCCAGTGAACTAGGTAAATACTGTGAAGATTTAGAAGCTCAAGAGAACATTATGTTCTACTTACTTCCAAGAGGAAGATTCCTAGAGGAAAGGGTTAAATCCACAGTAACAGGAAGGAATATTATTTTAGTGTTGCATTTGAGAAATTTGATTCCACCCTGATCAAAGATCTCAGCCATTAAGAAGTCATTGTGCCAGTTGTAAAACAAGTCATGCAAATGAAAAATACGCAGCATAGGGAATACAGTCAATAACAGAGTAATAACTTTGTGTGGTGACTCATGGTAACACTTCTCTCATGAGAAGCACTTAATAATTGTTGAATCACTATGCTACAAGCCAGAAACTACATCTACTATACTTCAATTACAAATAAAAAATTTTTAGATGATAAAAGAAGTCACTGTGAAATGAAATCTCTTTTAACCAATTCTATGACAACAAATATACCTTTGTTTGAAATTGGAAATTCTTTATGCTCATCGCTATTGCAACAGAGACATGGAAAAACTTCACATCTATGGTTTAATTTATTCTATCATCTTTTCTTAACTACATATAAAGCCAGGGAAATTGCTTTTTATTTGGAAGTTATGTTTTCCAGAAACCATCTTCAAATACTAATTTTCGATTGGGAGGGGTTGTAGTTTCTTCTCTTTTTAACTAAGTGTTCTTTTTGTTTAATACTTAAAATTAATGGCATCCTAATACACAATCTATAATACTTTATTACCCTGCATTTTCCCAAATTCAAACCTCCCTTCCATTTAGAGTAAAGCTAATTTAATCCATTAATTTGTGAATTTTAAAATACAGAATTTCCCACTCACATGTACTACTTTGAAAACAACATTCACAAGACTTCTTCCTCCTTCATGTTTAGTTGAAGAATGATTTTTAAAACTGCAATAATTTGTACTTCATTTTTGTAAATAAGACAGACAGGATATATACAGCTTAAGTTATTTCCACCTAGATAATCAATCTGGTGAAATGTACTTTCAAACCAAGCAGGTGTTGGTTCTATATTTGTTAAGTAAACATATAAATCTAAAAAGGTTTCAAACATGCCAATACATTTCCATCTTCTTGCTTTTCTAAGCAAACTTCCTTTTCAGAATTATTTTTCAAAAAGCATATAGACTTAAAACATTTACATATAAACACCTTGAGAGAAATATTAAGTTTATCAAAAAAAATTCCCTAGTAATATATATATTATAGTTACATTCGTTTCTTGAGCTGACAGTTGCTTAAAACATCTCCATTTTGAAAGCCTTATAACTTTTTAAAATCTTAAGACAAGGAAAGGAGTATCACTTTTCAACAACGTAAACATCTAAACTGGGCTGAAACAGAGCTCAGCACATTCCACACATATATAAGGGGTCAGATTGGTCTATAGCACCAGAGAGTATTCACAAATGGATAGATTCACAAGACATAAAATTTTAGAAAAGCTTGAAGTGAACTCCCTGGCCATCTGACTGGCAGAATCTGAATTACAACTGAATTTAAAAGCTCAGTCTCCTGGGTTTTAAAAAGACTGGTAATAAAAATAATAAAAAGTGTAGTAGTACTCTCCACCATCAGCTTCCTCTCCTCACATTCTGTACTTACATCAAATACTGCAGACATTTGCTTTAACAAATTAAAAATTTATGTTCCAACATTCTACCCATAGGAAAACTGTTTTTTAGGTCAACTTCCAAAGAAACAATACTAAAGCCTTGATTTAAGAAACAGGACAATGAGGCACATCTTTAGCTAACAGTTTTCTTCTGAAATACTTTAATTCAGTTGAGGTATTGAGCATGCTCAGTTTGTATGGAATGGAATCAGAAGTTTAGAATTTAGACTGAAATATAATCCCTATGGCAGTTGTTAGTACTTCACTAATTTCTAGAAATGTTAGCTTGGGCAAGTAATATAATGGAATGCTGCACTGCCAATGTCACAGGTCTGAAATGAATGCTAAATTAGATGATGCTAATGAAGACACTGTATAAATTATAAAAAGCCATACTGCTATAAGATTCCTTTGTCATCAGAATAAAAAAACAAATAGCAAAATTAAGTAGCAAAAACAAGTACTGTGATTTATAACAGCTACAAACTTTTAGCAAACAACCTAAAATTCTATCAGGAAAAAAATAAGATTAAAAAATAAATTGTGGTATATATATTCATACAAAAGAATACGGTACAAAAGGAAAACTATGGCTTCACGTACTACATTGGATAATTCTGACTGATGTGTTACTGAGGGAAAGCAGCAAAGTACAAAATAATATACATGGAATGATTTCATTTACATG